GATGGCAGTTGTTGATGAATGTCTGTAGTTTATTGAAAATCCCTTTCGTAACGTGCCAAGTCTCTGAACCATCACACAGAAGCACTGATTTGATGTTGGTGTTGAAAATCCGCATCTTGTCCCACATGTTGAGTGCACAAGATCTCAACACTGGTTTCAGGCTTATGAACACCTGTCTTGCTTTTCTGATCCTGGCTGACTTTGACATCCTCGTCTGTGCCTGTGTCACCTGAAGTTGAGACAGTGTTGCCTAGATTGGTGAAGGAGGCTATATCCTTTAAGTTTCTCCCACCGATGGTCATTGGAGTTTGTTGTTGTTGTTGGTAGTGGCGTTGGTTGGGTATCACCATCACCTCTGTCTTCTCGACATTCACTTGAATGGTGTCCCGTCTTCGCTACCCTGTTTCGCCTCTTCTACCAACTTGCTAGTTTTCGCCTGTGGATCTTCAAGTTTGTGTGACATCAGACACAAGTCATCGTTGGCGAAATCAAAGTCTTCTAGGTTCTTTTTCACGGTCCAGCAAGCATATCCCCTTCTTCTCGCTCCTCACTGTCTGCTGCATGATCCAGTCCAGTCCACCACAACACAATCAGGAATATCATGGGGGATAGTAGACAACCTTGTTTCACTCCTGTCTTCACTTCACTTCGAAGACGTCACTGAGCTTCCCATTGTGAATTACTTGGCCGGCATGTGGCATCTTCATATAGTTGTTGAATGAGGCTGATAAAGGTTTGCGGTATTCCTCAGTATTGAGGCAGTTTCCAAATTACTTCTCGGTCGACGCTGTCAAAGGCCTTCTCAAAGTCGACAAAGTTGAGGTAGAGATCCAGTTGACTGCCATTCTGTACTCTGTTCTATGATGATGCGTAGTGTAGAGTAGAGTTGCAATTTGGTCCACACATGATTTGTTCTTCCTGAAACCAGCCAGCCAATCAGCCAGTTCCGGTCGTAGTTTTGAATCCAGTGCATCCTTCAGCCTCTCCAGGGTGATGCGGCTTAATATTTTGCTCAGTTGGGGTGGACAAGAGAGTGATTCCACGCCAGTTCTTGCAAGCACTGAGGTCTCCCTTCTTCGGCAGTTTGACAAGGTAACCCTTCTTCCAATCAGTGGGCAGGTACCTTCCCCTCCTTCCACACCTTCTGCAATAGTGGTGTGGTGTCAGCATGTCCACTGTTGTCCATGCGTCTGTTTCCAGTGCCTTTGGCGGGATCCCATCTAGTCCTGCTGCTTTCCGGCATTTCAGTAGCTTAATGGCGCTCAGGACTTCCACTTTTGTTGGAGGATTTATGTTCACTTGTAGTTCAGCGTCTGGGCTGTAGGTGGTATTTCTGGACGAAGTGCTGGTGGTGATGGTGGTCTATTCAAGAGCTTCTTGAAGTGGTCGGCCCACTGTTTCCTTTGTTTCTCTTCTTTCGTAATCAAATTTCCTTCATCATCTTTTATTGGTTTCGTCTGCGTTGATCTCTTCCCTACCAGATAGACAGTAACCTGGTTATTTGATACAATGTTGACAGGTCTCCATCTCTCCTACCTGCAGCCTGTTCTGCTTCACTTGCCAGTGTTTCGTAGAAGTGTCTTTTGTTTTTCCACCCACTCTTCTTCACTTCGTTGTCCAGTGTTTTATACATTGTACTCAGTTCCTCTTCTCGTTGTGCATTCTTGTACTGGTTTACCTTCTGCTTCACCATCCTCCTCTCCCTGCTCTATCAGCTTTCATGTGTCCATCGAGATCCATTCCAGTCCTTGCCTTCTTTCTTCTTCCTTCCTAATACGGCTGTGCAGGTTTCTTTCCACATAGCTTTCAAAGAGTTCCAGTGTTCTTCCACACAGGTTTCTTCAGGCATGTTCCTCGATATCTCCCATTTTGTCTTGATGGCTGACGTGAAGACCTCCTTTGTAGTTTCATCCTTCAGTTCCCGAGTGTTGTACTTGGACTTCGGTCTATCACCAACTTCCTTGAAGGCTTTCAACTTGATTTTGCAGGTGGGTTCCTTGCACTAGATAATGCGTTTTCTGAACCTACATCTACTCCTCTTCTTCATCTCATCTCGTGTCAAGTAGGCTGACTGCGTCTCCACTTTCTTCACATTGAGATAAAGTCGATCTGATTTGTAGTGCAATGTGTTCTGGTGTCTGGTGAAATCAAATCCATGTCGCTCGCTTTGTGGATATCCTTGTGCTTGAACACACTGCCTGACTCCAATCACCAAATCGTTGAATGCACAGAATTCTCCATTCTCGTTCATTTCACCTAACGCTTCTCGACCCATGGTTAGTTCTCTTCTTGTGTTGTCCCCTCCCAGTTTGATATTCATGTCGCCCATTAGAATTTTCATATCGCCAACTGACGTCTTGTACAGTGTTGATTGCAATTGTCTGTAGAATCCCTCCTTTTTCTCCTGCTCTGCATTATTTGTAGATGCGTAACGTAGCAGTGTATGATTGTGACCTTCCCTCCTTTTGAGTTGAATCCATCTTGCGGTCATGATCCTGCAAGAGGAGATTGGTTCCCACTGCATGAGAGCCTTCGATGCTGTTGAGAGGGGACATCATGATAGCCACTCCACAACTCAGTGTGCTCGTGGTTGTTGTCTGGGTGACAATATCGGAGTAGATTATTGATTCTCCAATTGACAGTTTGGAGAGTCCACTCCCATTCCATCTGCTTTCGCAAATTCCAAGCACTTCAATGTGATACCTTCTCATCTCGTTTTCAATCTGGGCTGCCTTGCTGGGTTCAAACATAGTGTGGACATTCCATGTTCCCACGTTTACTTTCGCTTTCATCGAGAGAAGGGAAGACACATCGGCCAATTGGCTTCTCGAAGGCTTTCACCAGCTGGCGTCATTTCGCCTCTCCGATTCCAGTGAGGAATAATTTTGTTATTATTTTTTATATATGGTTCGTGCTTTGAAGTTGGTTTAGTGGTTAGATTTGTTTTCCGGGGTAGGGTTGCCAGCTGTATGCCCAAACTTTCCTCTTTCTCCGGGCTTAGGAACGGCTAGTAACTAGTTAACCAGGCGAGGTTAAAGCCTCTCATTAAGCATCCTAACTTCGAATATGTACACGAATTATATTGTTATTATGTAAAAATTTACTAAAGGTTTTCAAAACTATTGTTTGCAAATAACTGAGAAATTTGTTGACTAGCCTATTCACCTTCAAATTCATTAATTATACTTGATAGTTAATACACGATTTTAGAATGAAACTGACAACATAGCTTAAGGAGCACCTTACAGATCAGTAAATTAGTAACCTTTAACTGATTGTTAAGGAATTCTTTTGACTGAAAAACAAAAAGAATATAGTTATCATCGTTTCTAGGACTCATTTTCACATCTGTACAATCGGAAATATATAAGTAAAATAATAGTGTCAGTTGGTTGGAGGAAAACTGCAGGAAGCCCTGAACCTAGGTTTCGTGCTTTCTAGCACTCATCAGAAAGGCTTATCTGCAACGTGGAAGGGACTGATGTCCCGCCTGAGATCCGAACTCACGTCACTCATTGTTGTGGTCAGCGACGTTACTATTGAGCCATTTAGGAAGCTATTCAGAGGAGTGCAGACTCAATTCTATCGATCACATTTGCCTGCAAGGTGATAAGGAGCGGAATAAATGTCGCTGGCCCAGAATCAAACACACATTACCCTCATCTAAACCGCTACACTTAAATGTATCATCTCATCCTTTCTTTCTCTTTTCTACTACTTTCTACTTCTAGTTCCTTTGAATGATTTTTCTTTTCTTCTTCATCTGCCATTTTTATTGACATTGTTACTTGATGTCCTGATATGAGATGCAGCAACTTGGACCATTACACAGTAATACCTGATCCTATGTTGACCTACATGATAATGATAATGACCAGGTAATGTACTTTTGAGATAAATGAAAATTTTAATTTTCAAGCAGTATTCATCATGGACTGATATCAGTTATCATTATTAATATCCCATTCCAATACTAGATCGCACTGATTCATCTCTGTGAGCATATGGGTTACTATGCAGATGCCTCGATATTGCCTGAAGATTCATTAATTTGTAATTTGCTTGCCGATGGCTAGCTGCGAAGTTCGGGACACGTGTCACGTCCTACTTAGGACTCGTCAGCTGTATGTACTTGCACTCAAATGAGTGATCCTGCTCCCACTAAGGCTCGAAAGTTAAAGTATCATCTACTGGCCTACTGAGATAATGTAGCTATCTCTTTTAGAGCCGATATCAGTTGTTATTTATTCATACTTCTAATATCCCACTATTATTCTGGATCGTGCCAAATAGAACGAAACGCGAATCATGGATTCCACTGCTAACCACCACCAAATCACCATGTAGCGAATCCCCAAGCAGTATAAGGACGTTTACACAGGAGCCTATATGACAACAGAGATTGATCAATTCGATCCAGCATGACAACGGATATTAGAAGTATTAATGAATAACAGCTGATAACCGTTGCATGAGAGGTGACTTTGATGGCACGGTAATCTAATAGACAGTGCTCTGGTGTTGAAAACGATCGGTCCTGGGTTCAAGTCTTTGTGCGAACAATATCACCAACTGGAGTGTAGGTATATCGGGATGATGAGTTCCAAAAACGACGAAACGCACCTCTCAGACCCCACGGCTAGCCATCATAAGCAAATAAACCCCAATCTTGTGACTTCCTTTTTTTCTGTCACAACCCACTCGTTATATGTAACCACAATCACCTTTAACAAGAAGTAAAAAAACACAACATGGAAGAACGAACCACATCTAAGTAACGAATATCAACAATTCGAATATGGACTGAAGGTTTGACGGCTAAAAAGTTTATGATGCAACTCAGATTTTATCTCAAGAGGCATCATAAAATTAGTATTGATGAGGAAACCAAGGACAGAGATGAAGCAAACATTTGGCACTCTCCAATGTTGAGTAATCACTTCACAGAAATTCATATACCATCGAAATCAATTTCAAAATAAAGGAGCTATACATCGTTAAAAAAACCTCATACTTCTAAAGTAATAATTAACTTGGTTATGGCTAGCAGTGGAGTCCAGGATGCACGTTTCGTCTCATTTGAGAATCATCAGTTGAACGTACCTGCTCCCCAGTGAGTGATATTGTTCCCATTCAGACTCGAACATCATACCCATCGCGTTATCCAGTCACTGGGGCATGACAACCGCCTCTTGTTCAACATGTATTAGTTATTATTATCTGGTGATACTTGTAATCCTCTATTGTTATACAGGATCGAATTGGTCGACTTCTGTTGGTAAATGGGCTCCTTTGCAGATGCTTCGATATTGCCTGAATATTCATTGTGATGATTTGGTTGCCTAGTAAATAACAGGTTTGCGTTTGAAGCGATGGGTACGAGGTTACAGCCTCACACGGAACAAAATCACTCATTGGGGTGCGGCTACATCCAGCCAACGAGTCCCAAATAGGGTGAAACGCGCATTCTGGATTCGGCTGTGAGTCACAACCAAGTCAATTAGAACAATAAAAACATTCAGAAAATATCGAGGCATTCACATAGGAGTTCATATACTAGTAGAGTTCCAGTAACACAACTGAGAATTACAAGTATATCAACAAATAGTAATAACTTCTAAAGTAAGTCTACAACAAGAAATTATTGGAAGTTCAAGAAAAATTCAAAAATTCTCCACATAACGAACAAATACTCCTGAATTACTTCAACTTACAATCAAAACTTTTGTCAACAAAAAAAAAAGTTATATCGAGAACTGTTTTATTATTAATAAAACTCTGTAAATGCAAATTAGTATATCTTAGATACATGACAGTCATATCCTATTACTTCTTTCTCTCACCATTCCATTCCAGAACCTAGAGCATCTTCAACATAACGTTTATAGATTGCCATAAAAGCAATTACAAATGCTTCTAAGTGAAAAATTGGTTTTTGGCCTAGATTTAATCGATGCTCATATTCTGCAGCCAATTGAACCAATTCCAGCTTCAAATTACGATCACATGAGTTCAATAAATTATCTACTAAACCCTGATTTTTGAAAATCAAATGATAAGAAAAGTGAGTATACAATTACATCATCATCATCATCATCAAACCAAAGAAAGCATAATCTTGAACAGTCAACAAACATGTCCCAGCAATATCAGTAAGACCAATGCAAACAACAAAATAAACGGTATGTCATAATGTAGGCGAAAATCAAATTGGAAGCAATATTATCGATGTTTATAAAGAAAAACCACTAGGCAAAGGAATTAGGGTATATGTACATACATATATATACGACGTCACAAGAAATAACCATCGGACTCCGGGTCATTATAGACATCAGCAGCTGCATTCAGCGCTGATCTAAGCCTATCGATTAGGCATACAGAATGATCACCATTAAATGAAGTAATGTAACACTTTTAGATATTAGAAGCAGGAAACTTTGTATTCATATTTGATGCTTATTTAAAAAAATTGATAAGGTGTATCTGTAAACAATCCAGCTAGTGTGATATGAATATATTGCCAGAAAAGCTTGAGAATTCGGGAGTGATTAAATCAAGTTTGAATCCTACAGGGAATCTGTGTAACACGTCAAGATTGTAAAAACATTTTCCCAAGTGATAAATGCTAAAAGGTACGATACAGATTTTGATCATTTAACCTCATGGTATTAAGTCTGATATATTAAATATCATTATTCAGATGAAGAAAAACTTTTTTCTGATGGATCTGCAATTGACCCCGATCCCGGTAAGAAGTGTATCAATCCCTAAATGTTTCAGACCAGGAACAATAGACTTTTAAATCACTCTTTTTTCTGTTGACTGGCTCTTGGTATACAACTGTGAATTAGACCAACTTGAAGCGATTCACTTCTGTGAGAAGTTCTACACTGATTTTGTGTCCACTTGATTGAACAAATAGAATACCCCCGATAATATAAAACCTAGAAAGAGTACATGCTGAACTAAGTATCACATATAACATAAGGATATCAGAGGGTAAGTCAACGAGAAGAAATATAAGGCAATGAAAATACGATTATCAGAGATCAGAAAATGACATCGAATACAAAGTAAAAGACAGGAAAGAACAAAGATGTATGACATGACGAATTAAAAAATATATCGTAAATGCATCTGTCACCGTGGTGAACTTTCGGGAGAATGTTGGCATTATAATTCGACCTAAGTCGACCTGAACATTCATCCTCATTTTATATATTTTTATCGATGCTATGATTTGACTATCTATGATAGCCGTAGTTTGGCAGACTAGTATTTGTACTGGGTGATGACTGAAGGTGAGATGAAAATCTGGACCGCGGCCGGACTTGAACAAGCGACCACCGGGTTACCAGCCCGGTGCTCTACCAACTGAGCTACGAGGTCCGACTGCTGACTAGAATTTTATTACCCTTCAATCACCAAGGGTCCAGATCTTAATCTCACCTTCAATCATCACCCAGTACAAATTTATCTATGTAATGATGGAGAAGATTTGTAGCTAATTAGGATGATTCTGATGGTGTTGTGTTCTCGTTATCTGTCTAGAAAACATCATCAGGACAAACTTCAGAAAGAAGTGATCTATGAAGTGTTCTCCATAAGTGGCTTAGTAGCTGGTTCTGATGGCTGTGTATGATTGGTTGTTTCCGTCAAAGTCTTGTCATTATCTTCATATTCCTTTCAACTGGTTATCCTGCTGACGTGAACTTTGACCTGGTTGTTCTTTCTTATTGGCTGGTAGATTGGGTCGACGTCAGTATGTTAGTTAATCGTTGACTGACCTGAATATCAAGTTTGTAAAATTTCTCTGGCATTCATTGTATTTCCTCTATCCAGCCAGAATTTCCATATTTTCCTAGTCAAATTCATATAAACTGTTGTTCGTATGCATTGATATGAGCGAAGATATGTAAGGACGCTTCACTCCTAAGTGATGTTCATGTAGATGGATGCGAATAGGGAGACCACTCTGTCCAATGTAGTATTCATAGTAGTTTCTGCAGTTTATCTTGTCGATAATGTTTGGTTTGTCTTCCTTTACTATTGTTTCTTTTGGCCTGCATAACAGAGAGTCAAGAGATCTTGTGGGCTTGTGAGCTGCAATGATTCCAAAAGGCTTCAATAGTCCAGTCACGATCTCGAAGACGTTCTTTATGTAGGGTAAGATAATCTGTTTGTTGGTTTACGCGGTTCACTTCTCGAAGTTGCATAGATAGCCGTTCTTCTGGAAAACAGTCAACCAACCGATAAGAAACAACAAGAAGATCAAAGTTCACGTTACCAGGACAACTAAACATACATCAGGACAAGCTAGTAAGCCACTTATGAAGAAAACTTTATAGGTCACTTCTTTTTGAAGTTTGGTACTGATGGTGTTATCCAGACTGACAATGAAAGCTTCACGATCGAACCATCCAGCTTAGAGAACACCATCAAAATTATCCATACAAGCGAATACTCTGCTATTCAAAAAGTTTATCTATCTAACTGCAATGAAATAAAACTGTCAACACATTTTTTCCCATATTAATTCTGTAACCAAGTTATTACCAATAAAATAACAAAAGAGAAGTCAAACAATAATAACAACAACAACAACTACTACTACTACTACTACTACTACAGGAATGGGTACTAATATCAAGTGGTAGCACCAAGAGTGATACGTGATAACTAAATCAACAATAAAATTAGAATAATAGCACTTTCTAGCTGTAGTGTATCTGTTTACATGAACAAAAAGCCTCTCCTGCTTCTCTTCATATCAATAAATTTTTAATTAGAAAAAAATGATGTAAATTTTCACATTGTTAAAAAAAAACAACTAGAAATCAAAGCAAGAATGGATATAGACGAGATGAGAACAGTAATAACAATATTAAAAATCCAGACATCATTATCATTACAATCTCCGTCAGTGTCTTGAACATATTCTCACCTGCTCAATATACATTCAGATTACAATGAAGGCAGAGAGAAATCCACCTCCAAACACATTCACATGCACACACACACACACACGCACAGATATATACATACATGAAACAGAAACGAAATACACCTCATCAAATCTTATCTAATCCAATCAAATTACATATTCCTTTTTACTTCTATTGATATCATCATCATAGTCTCCTTACCAACGAAAACATAAAGAGAGAGAGAACGAAGGGGTGAAAAAACATGCCATTGAAAAAAAAACTACACTGCATTATCATCTAAGGTATTATCGCTACATTAAAGTGCTATTTTTCAAAGATTTAACATGCCGACAAAAAAGAATAAACAAGGAGAACAACAACAATGAGAGACAACTTTAATGAAGATAACAAATGAGTCAAATGCTCAGCATTCACAAACACACACATACACCCATGGGAAAATATGTAAAACCAGACATAAATACGACAAGATAGTTTTCCCAATGCACCACTTTTATTAGCACATAATTATTATTATTAGTTTTCCCTTGGGTTCCTAGTGAAACATAGGGCTTCTGTAGAACGTCTCCATTTCACTATCTTCTCTGCAGTATTTTCAACCGAGCTCCACGATTGCCCACAAGCTTTCATTTCTTCCTCACGTGATCTCCTCCACGTCACCCTCACCTCCAACCCCCAACTCGTCGTTTCCCATGAGGATTCCACTCCACAGCCTGTGCTGGAGCGTGATGTCCCCAGTCGGTCCCCTATCCATTCTATCTCCACTTCCTTCAACTGCATATTTGTTTAGAGATAGCTTCTTGGTTGGTTCGTTGCCAACAAGCCAGAGTTCCTTGTTACTCATTGTTATTATTCTGACCATCTGAGCTTCAGTAACCAGCAAGAGTAGATGGCAGTTGTTGATGAATGTCTACAGTTTATTGGAAATCCCTTTCGTAACGCGCCAAGTCTCTGAACCATCACACAGAAGCACTGATTTGATGTTGGTGTTGAAAATCCGCATCTTGTCCCACATGTTGAGTGCACAAGATCGCCACACTGGCTTCAGGCTTATGAACACCTGTCTTGCTTTTCCGATCCTGGCTGACTTTGACATCCTCGTCTGTGCCTGTGCCACCGCCTGTAGTTGAAACAGTGCTGCCTATATAGGTGAAGGAGGTCACTTCCTTTAAGTTTCTCCGGTTGATGGTCATTGGAGCTTGTTGTTGTTGGTAGTGGCGTTGGTTGGGTATCACTATCACCTCTGTCTTCTCGACATTCACTTGAAGTCCCACCTTTGCTGCCTCTTCTGCCAAGTTGCTAGTTTTCGCCTGTAGATCTTCGAGTTTGTGAGACAAGATATATATATCGTACTGAAGGTCAAACAATGTGTACTTTTCCTAGTTCCTGAATCATTCAGATATCACTGAACATCAGTTGGTCAAATGAAAATTAAATGCAGACATTACTCTTTTATTTTAAAACTAGTAAACGGTAACCATTGAAAGTTACACTAAAAAGCTAATTTGTCAAGGATATTTGCTACCAGTAGAAGGGAATATTAGTAAAGGTGACTGTGTTTTGCACACAACTCAATCTCGCCAAGGTGTCATCCATTGGTAAAACACCGATATGCATGAAGACGCCTCAGTAGACATTCATCAATATAATGAAATATACCACAACTGACGGTGATTCGTAGATTCCACTAGCTAGATCAGTGTGATTTGAACACCAGACAGCCGTTTCTCTAGGCTTGGAGCTGAGATCATCATCAGTATACCCGGACAAATACATGAACAGAACAGCTGAAAATAAACGACAGCACTGATGACTGACTGACAAAATGCATCGGCTGAAGTTGCCACACTTCACAGTAGTATACAAAGAACAAGTGGATAGAAAAGGAGTGACATCAAAGTAGATAAAGTGGCGTAAGATAATAAACAATCTGAAGACAAAGGTTAGCGTAAATATTCAAGCTTTAGAAGACAGCAAAGAGAGAATACATCTGCGATACTGAAACCATTTCACCAAGAGTAATCAACCACTAATTCCTTCTATCACGGAGCCCCAACTAAGTAGTCTAAGCTTCCTTACACGGCACAGATCAACAATAAGAGATTCCATCGACTGATCCCAGGTCTTGATCTGGCCACCCTGGAGGCGCTTCTATCCTAATCCAGCTTCCACTAGCATGGCACGTTGAGGTAGGCAGTGGATCTGCATGCTCAACACATGTCCAAGCCATCACAGTCGACAAGGTTCACAAATTCACCAACCAACTTGCTTATCTAACTTAGTACCCTTCACCTAACCTTAACATTCTTTACATGGCGATTCCACCAAACGCGAGCAATGCTACGAAGACATTTGTGATTAAAACCCTTTTGTCGCTTCACATCTTCCACTTTTAACAGCCATGTCTCATAGCCGTAAAGCAGAACAGAACGACCTGAAGCGCAGATAAGATAACAAGGTAATAGTTATAGGAAGCATTGACAAAAGTTAGTGGAATCTTTTGCATATGATGGAATTATTCAGTGACAGCACACCAAACAGGTTTTAAATCACATATGCCAGTATTTTGTAAGAGGAAGCTCTTAAAGTGCACTAACCGCGACACGATGCAAGTTCTTCAGTGGACTAAAGGTAATCTAGTTTTATTCACCTTCTTGGTGTGGTTCGACTCAAAAAAACATTTTTTCTATTCAAATGTACTACTTAAACCGATTTAAGTAGCCACTGATTTTGTCGTTAAGTTTCATTGCGCGGTGTGGTTTGCTCGAATGAGTTACCGACGTAGAATGCCATTTTATTTTTTGATATAGTCAGTACGGACATAAATTGACTAGCCAGCAACTTCATCAAAAATCATTGTGGCATATGTAAGATAGATGCTGTTCTAAGGGACTTTATATTGATAAATTTGACTTTTGAGTATTAACAGAAATAAATGAGGTTGCTCTAGAAAACAAGAATTTTGCATGGTTTTACGAGAATCTACACACCTGAATAAACCACAGTATCAGTTCTATTTCACTTTGTTTTTCAGACACTGTAAAATGATACCATATCCCACAATGTGTTCAGTCGAAAAGCGACAATAACGATTGGATACACCAACATCAACCATTCGAGTCCCCTGGTAATTTGTTTAATTTCTAACTTGTTGTCTATTAATCTATCTTTATCTCTCATTTCTACCACTTGCCTACTATATTCAACATTTCCAGTCTTTTATTTGATTATTACACGCTAAGAGTTGCAAATATTAATTTGCCAACACAACATAAAGCAGCTTACATAGCAAGCTGTGATGTATATTTGTTTTATAACGGCTAATGTAACGACCTAGGTGCAGAGACATATGTATGTACAGTGACATTAAAACGTGAACCATGTTAGCCTATGGTATGGCATTTCCTGCCTCTGAAACAACACACACAGTAGCTTTCAGTGTCTTCACTTCATGACCAGTGAATAAATTCCTAGCAGACCTAAAACGTTAGTTGTTACAGAGCCAAAGCTTCTCACCAACTGACTCCTAACATCTAAGAATCAAGTACACAACATCGCAGATCTTGTGAAGCAGTGAGTTTTACAGCAGCATTTGATTGAAGAAAATAAACGCGGTGATTCTCAATGTATTGACTTATTCGTGAACTGACAAGATACCTTAAAAAAAAATACTGGACCCACCTTTATTCAAACCTAAAACCATTAGTTTCATCTAATTATCAAGATTATTCACGAACTGTTTCGTAATCAGGTGACTATTTATACACCAATTCCTTTGCGGTGATAGCATAAAACAAGTGATTAGCGAAAAGAATCCTGTTTCCTATGTTTAGAAATGCTTTTTGTGGTTGTTTATGTGCTGGGTTTCAACCACGCACCAAGGTAGGAGGATTTGTGGTCCCACCCACTTACAGAAACCACAGTAGGTGATTAGAGTTTAAAGTCATTATCCTACTAATCTGATGAGCTAGTAGATAAAATGATGAGCTTTAAGGTCAATCCCACAAAAAGCGATATCATTTTCGCCCATATAACTTTTCAAAACACACTACAGGTTTAAAAAAAAACAACTTACTCGCATGATAACATTTGGCGGGATACAATGGCATAACAACTCATACAATCGGTTTCGAACTTCTAATATTCTAAAAAGAAGTTTAGAACATTAATCAGTATCGAAAATAAACAGTATACAAAAGAATAACAAGTTTTGGTGTTACGTTTTTGACTTGGATGGTTTGATCATGAAGCTTTCATCGTCATTTCAGACAACATCAGTAGCATCTTCAGAAAGAAGACATCTCATGGAGGCCTGTCTCTTGGACAAAGTTACCTATTTTTAAACAAACTAAAAAGAAGTTTGTATAGGCGATAGAATGGTATATGTATGAGAATGGTAGTTAGAGCTTCCACAAGTAAATCATTTAGGTCGAAATAACACCTAAATGTTAACATTGCGTCATAGCTTCTAGTGAGTGCTGTGTGTGAAGATCTGACTGACAGACAGACAAACAAAATCAACGTAGAACCTCACACAAGTCCATCGGTTCAAAATGCAATACTTCACAGTACCATACAAAGAACAGACGTGAAGATATTTTCTTTAACTAGATTGTCAATCATCGTTACATACAGTCCTCCTCCTCTTTGAAGTAATGACAAAAATGATAAATTTCGCACACAATTAGTTCCCATGATGAACTTGCAAAACACAATACGGACAGTATTTGCAGAATAAAATGAGGTAATTTATTTAGCACAATTTTCACCAACTGCCTACAATCCACATAAATAGCCAGTAAACAAATGTAGACATGCACTTCAGGTTGGTATTCATTATGGACTGATATCAGTTGAAAAAACACTGTGGAGCTGTGGCTCAGTGGTTTAGGAAGATCACTATCAACCATTGGGTCATGCGTTCGAACTCCGGTCCATCTACCGAGGTTTGAACAGCCAGTAGTATCATCAGCCTTCACACAATAGATGTAGCTGATTGCCTACTACACCAATGTGAAAAAGTTGGCTGAGTACGTTTCGCTGCGCTTCGGAGAGACACTGGAAACCTGCCAGCACTGAACGGTTGTTCCATCATACTATGGGACTCCTCAGCAGTGCGCAACCACGACCCCGCACCCCTAAGGATCGACCTCAGGACCTTCGGGTCCCGCAGCCCCCATGCTACTACTGGGTCAGAACCCAACGGTTCATATTTCCTACCTCTGTTAGTCCACGATATAGTGCGACTTTCATTTAAAGCCATCGTTGAGTAACTCCCCTTAGATCCAACTTGGTTGACCCCATCGGTTACAACTTTTCATTAAATCTTCGGGAATCACCTGCCGAAGGGAGTCACCAATGAGCACTAGGTTAATTCAATTTCCACGTTTCCGGGGATATATTTATTGATTTCAGGTTGGTGTTCATTATACATAGACATACACTCTTGTGATATCATAGCGATTCGTAGGTGAAGAGAAATACAATTAATGATACAAGTGGCGGTAATAATTATAATTTTATGAGTGGCAACTCTGAAGTAAGATAAGGGCTAGAGCTAGGGTCCTCCAGTCCAGTATAACTTTAAGTTTGCTCATGTTTCGTATAGCTCCCTATTGTTTTTCTCCTAATTATCTCGAATATTACTATCGTTTTGTCACATCTAAATTTTTTCTTACCATGCACTCACTTTTTCGGACTTTGTTCTACTAAAATAGCTGCAGCTGTTTCAGAGATAAAAACCTGCCAATCAGGTAATTGCACACTTTGATCTGGAAGCATAGGAGAGTGCTGCCATTTAGCCACTTCAGCGTATAAAAGAGCTCTGCGAAGATTTCTTTCAGATGATATTGCAATACGTTTCGCCAGCTCAACTGGCATTGTATGACCTTCTCGACGAGCAGTATTTTTAAGAATTTCCACAATCTCATCTACAGATGGAGCAGAAACTCTTATTGGCAAACATCGTGAACGCGTAGCAGAAATAATCTGGGAAATAAACACAGACATTGAGACATTTTTCTAGTAAACACTAAAGCAGAGGGTAAACAAGTGTAGGCAACATTTACAAAAGTAGTGACTAGAACCTTATTACAAACAAGTGCATATGATTCACTCAACAAAGTCAAGTGTTTAAACACTCAGAACTTAAGTTATGTCAAGGATATTGGTGAGTTTGTAATGTGAATTTGAAAATTATCTCAAGGATATTTCTACTCAAGTCTTCAGCAAGGTTTCTGTAAATGAGCAAGATCATCCCCGTAATAGTAGGTGAGACTAGTTCATACTGCAAGCCAAAATATAATGCAATAATCCAACACGACAATTTTCATTTGGTTTTACTATTATATATATATATATATATATATATATATATATATATATATATATATATATATATATATATATATATATATACTTTGAAAGCTATGACTGAACAAACTAGTGATTCGATGTTAAAACAGCAGCTTCTCTCTATATTTAAATTCAAGGTTTTATGTAATCTAACTAGAAACTGAATACTGTCGTTAGTTTTCTCACTATAGGGTTTGAATTAAAGTTTACCGTACCAATTTGCACGATGATTCTCAGCTGCCTCTGGTTCAAACGCTTTCATCTATCGCTTTTACAAGTAATCAGGTATCCAATAATTGTGAATCTTAGTGTTTTACGAAACTATATTCATCAAGTAAAATTTTTTCTCATAACAAACCTTGAGCACTTTAGAATGAGAGCGCAGCTTAATCAACTGGCCGCTTAACAGCATACCCAAACAATGTAAAAACCAATGAACTCAATGTTCATTGAATAGTAGGCTAACGCCGTGTTACCCAGTTCTAGGTGGTGACTGACCAATATGGAAAGCGACGACCATAAAATGCCCGTACTTTTGAAGATTCCCCATCTTCATTAACCACATTTCCCAACCACACCGCAAGATCACACCAATAGGAACTACGAACGCTTGCAAAGACTTTCGAACATATCGCCAGAGGTAAAAAAAAATAACATCAAGCGCGAAATTCCAGTGGAGCTTTTTGCATAAGTACAGAAATGCCATCGATGACTAAACTACTAAAAGTAATGCGAATTCAAAGATGAATAAAAGTGTAGATATTTAATCACTTTTTCGCATTATTACTAAACGCAGTCTGTACTGAAGCAATACTTTGAGTTTGAAAGGTAACGGACACATTTTACCATGATTGCCCAGGTAGCTTGGAGACTGGATTTTGATAGTATCTTCCTTCGGTAAAATCATAGTCTGCGTAATGTACGTCTGTCAAGGAATGTCCAATAACAAGACTAACCTCTGAGAATTTACAATGAAACCTCTATAAGTCTATTGAATAACCATAAAAAGAGTGGATATACCACTTGGTTTAAAATGTATGGCTTCAGCAAACGATCGCTTTCAGCTTGCTTGCTCAGCATAATAATTGACCATGTGAATGCTTCTGCTCTTAGTTACGCCCCTCTGCTTGGTAACCCAAGTGCTCAGCTGAAACATACGGATCAAGAATTCCCGAAATTATGTGATACCTTTTCAAAAGGGCGTATCACAGACATTATATGCTTTGCAGACAACATATATACATGACCAATTAATTGCCATAGCTATCCTGAAACGAAAAGAAAGGCGATAGCTGGTATACAACTTAAAAGTGGGTCTGACAACATAACCTTAGAAATATAAATATTTAAAGGGATGATAACACCATGATATTGCACACACTTAACAAATATTAAATGCATACCTCAGTTTATACGTTTAATCAACGTACGTCTTAAAGCTCTAAAGCGGCTAGATCTACTGGTCATCAAGGTTTTCGAAGCCTAATTAATCTGTCAAACATACACAATTTCATTACTATTTGTTTGTAAAAATGTAGTTCTCCATTGTTATACTTGATCGAATTGGTCAACCTCCGTTAGCATATAGACTCCTATGAGGATCCCCCTTTACTGCCTGAATATTTATAATTTACTATGACACTGAGTCACAATAACCGCCTCTTGTACAACTGGTATTAGTTATTATTATATGCTGATACTTGCAATACTCCGTCGTTGTACTGGGTCGAATTGGTCGACGTCTGTTGGTATGTGGACTCCTATGCAAATGCATCGATATGGATCTACCGGATAACACTTTGGCATTTGGAGCGATGGGTATGGGGTTCGAGTCTGAATGGGAGCATCACTCACTGGGGTGCAAGTACGTTCAGCTGACGATTCCCGAATAGGACAAAACGTGCATCATGAATTCCATGGCTAACCACAACCAAGTCAATTATGGCTTAAGATTTTGTTTAGTCTTAAACGGAGGCTTGAAATAGTATATTAGATGCGGTGAAACTTTCTCAGCTTAAGTTTATGATAATATAATGATTATGTGTAACAGCAACTATTTATAGTCCCGGTTTCATTACTTAATGTGTGAGAATTAAGATTAGATTCAAAGTAACAATTCTGCTGGTTACACAGACTTTAGAGCAATCGAAGAATGATCATTTGCAAGTGTAAAATCCATGATTTTAATGGTCGCCAGGGCTGGGTACTATAGACTTTGTAACTCATCCCTTGACCCTCTTTAAATTTTGCATGTCAACAAATGTGACAAAGCTATTATGGTTCAGGCAAGCTACAGTAATAAATCAGCAGTCTATCACCAACACAAGCAAAACGGTGGACAAAAAGTGAGCCATAAGTGAAAGCAGAACACAAATGATCCTAACCTTACTAGTAGATTCAGCTGACAAAATTAAGCGACAAGTTGAAATGTACTTTTCCATAGTTCTTCGCAGTGCGTGTTGTGCATCACGTGTTAAGTGATCAGCCTCATGCAATACCACTATTTTGAAGTCTTTCTGTTGCCCACTGTCAAGTTGAGCTGTTGATGCCATACTTTTTATTAATTCTTGAATAACAATACGATCATAAATGCCAACATCACTAAAATGATAAAATGAAAATAGCTGTGTGCTTATTCAGCATAAAAAAATAAACCATTATATATGGAACAGAAATCGTGACTTTTAAGTGTACAAGATAGACAAACAAATCAATGTAGAGCCTGGCACAGAATGACGATAAGAGTTTAAGAATCTTGAAAAGGAATGCTTACAAACTTTTGATGGAGAAAATACTTCGGTATCCAAACTTTTTAATAGTAATGATTATGTACTAAACTGGATTCCCAATCAGCTCAAGCTGTTCACTTATGAGAACTAAGAAATAATTACTTTTCTGGTCACCGAGAATCCAAAGACCAAGATCGGGCATGAAGGCAATCGAATTCTTCACAACAGTAGTGTGAAGCTACATACTATCCACATATCAGATGAAGTATCGTTCTAATTAACCAGTTAACTTCCGGTTATTTGTTAAAACAATTTTTTCGGTAACGATTTGGGCACTCTCATTTTTTAAACTCTCGTGAAGTACAACAACAAATGACTTATTACATTCCGAATTCAAAACTTCGAATGCTGATTTCAGAATAATGGTACTACACCATGAGTAAATTGGTTGAATTTACGCCTCATTTTGAAGTATTCCACTTCACTTCACATCAATGAAATAACGGTCCAAAACATCCACATTACACATAGAATTGATGAAGCAAAATGTATGGCGTCAAGAATTGCTAGGAACCAGCCCTTTGATCGATTCTAGGAGTTGGGTAACCACATGATAATTGAGTCAGATATGTCTAGGATTTGATGTAACAGCGGGTGAGGTTTGTGGGTGCTCTGTATGAGTAATATTTGATCCAAGCATAACTCTATTAAAGACCCCAGGATAGATGACACATACACTTTCTTTTTTTTGAGAATTTCGATTCAGATGTCTCTGTTCTTTTCTTTCAGTTTTCTAATTCAGAGAATCTGATCCTATTTACAAGAAGTTTGAACAAATTCTCCATGCAATTTTTCCTTTTCATTACTACTGCACAAGTACTTTTATGTGAAATGGTCCCCATGATATCGTTAATACCCTTCATTTCCTTCAGTCAGCTGATACGATCGTTGGTCAAGTGACTAGAATATTTTGGTTTCATCATCATTATTATCAACATAGGACCAGGCATTACTGCGTAACGGTCCGAGTTGCCACACCTCATATCAGCACATCAAGTAAAAAGGTAGTGAGGTGAAGGATGAAGATAAGTGAATGCAGTCAAAAGAAATATAAAGTACGAGAAGAAAGGAAAGAGGGATGACAAAATGGTGACATTCGGTATAGCGTTGTTAAGATGAGGATAATGTGTGTATACATCTGCACCACTCACATCGCTTCTCAGCCATATCACCTACAGTCTCCAACAACTGGTTCCTCTTGTCCCGTAGACCCCAACCACCTAGTCTGCATCTCCCCACATAGCTTAAACCAACAGTCAGAGACTTCATACATTGGTGCCATGTTTTAGTGTGGCCACCTCGGGCCTTTTTTCAGCCTGGACCCACCTCAGCCAACATTGTGTGACGAGGCAATCGGTGACTAGGCATACATAGTACGTGTCCCAACCATCTCAGTCGATGAAGGTTCACAACATCGTCAACTGACTTACCTCTTCTCCCTAAAACTCTACACCTAACTTCTGCATTACTCACATGGTGACACCACGGAATACGTCCTATACTACGAAGGCAACGGTGGTCAAATACCTGTAACCTTCTCATGTCTTCCACTTTCAATGGCCATGTTTCACAGCCATACAGTAGAACAGAGTGGACTGCTGTGCAGTACACGCAACCCTTAATAGACAAACGAATATCACGGCGGCGCCATAGGTGGCGCAAATTGGCAAAAGCCAATTGAGCCTTTTGTATCCGTGCAGAAATCTCATCGGCAACTAACCCACCGGAGTTGATCCTACTTCCCAGGTAAGTGAAGTGGTCAACACACTCAACCACTTCACTCTCTATTGTTAACCGCGGTACCGCTGAAGACCAGTCCTGGAGCAAAAATTTGCATTTGGGTGGTGAAAATCGCATCCCAAACATTCTCAAATTCCCACTCAAAGTGTTCAGAAGACTCTGCATCTTGTCAGCGTCTTCACCTAACAGGACAATGTCATCTGCATATTCTAGATCTAGAGAAAATTCACCTGTGATCGGGTCAACGTCTGTGTAATTAGGAGACGAGAGGGAAACCTCCATAAGAATATCTATGATAAAATTAAATAAGAATGGGGATAGTGGGCATCCTTGACGGACACCACTTGATGAGTATAGCTCCCTGATGAGTATAGCTCCCATTTTGGTTTAGTGCTTAGGAATTCATAAGCATGGTTTTCCCGAGTTTGTGGTTACTGAGCTTCAGCTACGTATCATATGGGTATGGATTCCAGATTCTTATAAACGATGTCAGTCAGGCTGATTCTCCTATGGTTGATACAGAAAAAGTCTCTCCTTTCTTATCAACTGGAATAATCAGCGATCTGAACAAGTCTAACTTAACTTAGATGCCCAAACACTACGAAGTACTTCAGTAACGCTACTCAGTAACTTTCTATCTCCATTCATAGAAAAATTCTGGTGATAAGCTATCAAACCTTGCTGCTTTGCATTCTTTCAATTTTGAAATAGCGTTACGTCTAATGATATATCCGGGACTGACATCTGCACTCCAGTCATGTTCATACTCGATATCATGCAAATGAAATGCCACGGAAGGTCATTTGGACTGTTTTTGAGTGTTGCATCCAACATTTGTGATTCACTGCCCATCATCCATCTTATGCCAAACTTCTCATTAAAACAAAACAACTAGCATTATGGAATGTTGACGCTTTCCCTACCTCCTCTGCTTTCATCACTCATCACAGTCGGTGCAGACTTTCAGTAAGATGTTTAAAAAGTCAATTCGTTTCAAAAGTTACGGATGCATAATATGACGCACGCTAAATCTACCCCCTTCGTACTGTTTCGAACAAATTATGAAGTAATAATAAAGATCAAGAAGTGACTGGGTCGCTCAAACTAAAGACTTTAATGCATAAAACACTAACAGCACAAATCCCTCTGGACCACTAAGGCATTTTACTGAAGGCCCAGGCAGCAAGCACAAATATTTTTTCGATCATTTGCAAAGATCAAGGGACTACAATGACAAAATCTTGCATGTACTTAGTTGGAGAAGTCGAACAACATGAGTATTCTACTTCAACCACTATTTTTGAGGTTGGATGTTTTTGCACGACTAAAGAGTGACTAACATATATTCTCATGGTCCAAAACTGATCATCACCAGTGGTGGGATAGTCATTGGTGCTTCTCTGAAGCGATAACACCTGTATGAAATCATTAAGACATTATTTTTGAATCCAAGGACTCACGATACACGGACAGTATTTAAGGAGTCAACATGACTTAAAATACTGCAAAAGGCAACCTTATTTCCATATAGCTTTAGCTCAAAAGTACTAGTTGGATCATCATCAACATCAACATAGAATCAGGCGTTACTGCGCAAAGGTCCAAGTTGCCACAGCTGATACCAATACATCAAGTAAAAAGGCAGTGAAGTGCAAGATGAAGATAAGAAAATTCAGTCGGAAGAAAGATCAAGTACGAGAAGAGAGAAGGGAAGAATGAGAGAATGATGAGATTCGATATAGCGTCGTTAAAATGAGAATAATATTAGTTGGATAGCAAAATCGTAAAATACAGCATTTAGAAAGAGTAACTATGTTATGAATTACATTCGTAAGAAAACACGGTATTGATAAGATAGACGGTAATCCATCATAGCTACTACGACAAGGAAGCAGCTTGATACACCAACTGCAATGAAACATTACATGAACAGCCTTTTACATTTCTCAATGGTGAGCATCTATTAAATGGGTCGCGAACATCTAATGGCACAGAGTAAAACTGGATAAATGCCACCAAATCATCCATAAAAGCAGTCGATTATAAAGAGGAAACCGCTAAAGAAGGCTCATGATTCGACCACGTACATTACATATTTATTTTCCGAATCTAAATCTGTAACAAAATGGAATGTTTGATATGAGGACGAACAAATCAAATTTCAGCATCTAGGTAATCCACTTACTGTGGATACGTAACCACAGTTTTCAATCCCTACTTGGCTAAAATATATGTTGACAACTAAAAAGCAGTAAACTCAGCATACGTACCTGGGATTTACTTCTAAATGAAAGTTGCTCGACACAGTTGATAGGTTGACCTTTTTATTTGAAGGTGTAACAAAAGTGTGATGTTCCATCCGAAGTCGGTCGACACCTGACCCATATAGTTCACGTAAAATACACATAATCCTAGTTCGTTTACCAGCACCTGAAGGTCCATAAACCAACAGGTGTGGAAAGTTGTTACTATCGACCTAAAATTTGAACATATTTCAATCACACGTAAACTTATTACCAGCTGCTTGAGGTTTTTAGCCTGTTTCTTATGATAATCAAGCTTCCCTAGCGATGTGGGAGTATACTTATCCACCCAAAGACTCATGTTTCAGAATTTCAAAAGGTCACTAACGTCAAGCGGCCCGCCCAAGGTTGTCCAACATCCTATATCTTTTCATGAGCTACCGCAAAACAAGTGATTTCTTTGCTATCTCTTTCTAGTCATATGGAACGACTGCATGTCACTGATGAGTTTCAATCCAGTAAATTTGTTCACTTGCCTGCTGTAGCTCTACTATACCCAACTGGAATTTGGGTGTTGATTAAATTTGTGTGGGTTGAATTATTCGTCCAACGACCATGATACAGATGGGTTCTTCAAATTTCGTGTCCTTAGACGGTTGTCCAAACTTACTGCAAGATAAGGACAGCAAGAATGAAAAGACGTCCAGCCAAAAGTAGGGAGAATTGAGAAAAACATGGTGGAAGGAAGCAAAATGAAAGGGATAGAGGGACCTAGTTAAACTCAGAAAAGACAAAGGAAACTGTGATAAGGAGGACCTCGGTGAGTAGGATGAAACCACAGAGTCAGGGTGGAGGAGGAGGAGGAGCAGGTAAGATTATGAGAGGGATAATGGGAACAGAAATAGTGTTTTCAGTAGGGGTATGAAAACTGGGGGTCAGATGTCTTTGGAGGGAATTATAGGGTTGAACCAACTTCATGACCCAATGTTTGATCAAGTGTAGACTAACCGACTTATTCCTGCTTTCCTCTAGGCCTTGTGAAATGGTTTTCGGTCTTTGGTGGATCTCAACGCAGTAGGTCTATCCACTCCCCTGAAGTAGCTTCGACTAGATCAACGGCAGTTAGATGTTTACTAATTTGATGAAATTTGCATGATTTTTAAAGAGTACGAGGTGCATATGGGTTCTTTGACTGTTGTACTTCCAGGCAGTTGGTTAGACTGGTCGTAAAAAGATGGTAGTAAAGTTGTCAAGCGAATTCAAGGGGGAGGGAGGGAGAAGAAGGAAAAGTAGAAAACAAGATGAAAGGAAGAGGAACGGAAGGGAATGAGAAATCTGGGTGGATTCATAGTTGATAAGTGATAGGGGCACCTTAATAGATAGGGTGGGATCATTGAGCCAGAGGGAAGAGAGGCAGCAAGTTAGTTAATCGGATGGGTTCTGGGAATAGGAATAGTAATAAAATTAGTAGGGACTGGTAACCGGAGATGTTTGCAGAGAAGTACGAGGTTTGGTCATGTTCGCTATCATGGATGCGCCACAAAAGATTCCGTGTACCGCTGAGTGTGATGAGTTGTACCGAGTTAAAATTTACATCAACCTAACCCATATCCCAGGTGGGTGAAAGTAAACCGTGGGTCACGGCGCAGCTGTCCAACCTCTTCTTCGAGCCACCAACAGACGGAACAGTGACAACCTCGACAAGCAATGCGTTCCAGTGGCCACTGGTTGGCAGAGAGAAAAGTTATAAGTACATATGGGTTTTCGCCCTTTGGTTGTCTGGTTGCCACGAAGACTGCCACAGTGGCCTTTTGGTTGGGTCCCACTGTTCTGATGAGTTGGATTACTTGATGTTTTGTAAACTGTTATTAAGAGGGTGTGTCGACCCACTGTTGATACCTTTTCGACTAGCCCGTGAGTGGGTAGGCAGGTAGTTACAATGTGGCAGCGGACAAGTAGCGCAGTGCGAGTTTAGCGGTGGCTGCGAGAATCCCGAAGGGAAAAGAAGAGGAAAAAAGGCGAGACAGCGACTCAGCAAGTACATAGGATGTACTTACACTTAATGGTAAAAGTTAACTGACAAACCGTGGAGCTTGACAATGACGAGGTTAGACAGCCTAGAAATCTAAGCTGGAAGGTAAGTGAGTGAGATTTCGAATGCGTTAAGAGGATGAGTGACCTACGGTAGCTAAGACAGCATAGCCCTGGGCATTTCGGCCTGTCGTCACATGAGTTCTCTCTCATTTCTACAACGTCTCCTGTTGCCCACCACTGGGCTCTCTCCGGTTGGTTCATATCTCTTCTTAGGCAAGGCAGCACAATTATGCTGTGGACCTCTGAACGGGGTCGCATGTGGATCTTGTACAGCTTCAGGGAGAGTTCAGGACTGAGGGGACCGAGGTATCTGCGCATGGAACGCAGTACTGAGAAGGCACTGGAGGCATCTTCTGAGTAATGGCAGCTAGTGTCTTTCTTATCATTCAGCACTGGTCTCAAGTCCTTCCCCATGGTGGCGTGAGAAAGTTGCTTTCCGCGGAGAGAGTGGGATACTTTTTGAGTGTCCCTGGCGCACAGAAATATGGTTCGGCATCTATTCAGATTAAATGCCAGTCCGTTGTGATCCACCCACTCCGCAAACAATTCGCGACCACCTTGAAGTGCACCTGATTCTACTTCAAATGTCCTGGAACTCCGTAGCTTCATATCGTTGGCATAAAGTAAAATCAGGGGACTGAGACTTGGTGAAAGGCCGTCTACAAAATGAAGGGATAGCAGCGGACTCAGAATCGCTCCTTGTGATACGGCAGATGATAATGTTGAACAAGTTGACCAAACCCTGTTAATTCGTTTGCATAATCCTTTGCAAATGAATAGTCCCGAAGCCAGCAGATCGCCCGGCTGTTGATCCCAACCCTGGTATTTTGCGAATGAGAATGGTGTGTATGACCGTGTCAAGGGTCCCGGCAGAATCTAGGACAGTCACGTGAACGGGGACTTTGGGGTCCCAGCATGCTATCCAGTTGTGACCGACTGTCAGAAAGTTTGGTGAGCAGAACCCACCCTTTCAGAAGCCGCGTTAAGCACCACTTACAGCTCCCCTCCTGTCCAAGTACGTCCCTACGTGGTCACCAAACGGGTTCTAAATTACACTTGATAGCCCACTGGAAGCACTATGGGTTGGTGGCATATCGGGTTGAGCTTGTCTCCTTCTTTGGGGATGAGGGAGAGAATACTACGTCTCAGCTATCGTGAAAGCATGTGTTTATCTAAGGAATATTGACATAGATTACAGAGCAAACCGCATAAGGCATCCGGGAATTGTTTTAATATGGTGTTGTGAAAGTCGTCGCGTCCAGCGGCCTCTCGGTGCAGAAATTTGACAGCTTTTCAAGGAACATAGCAAGGGTCATTTTTACTGCTACTACTGATAACAATAATATATTCCGAATAATAAATTACACGGACGCAGGCCATTTTTACAGGCGATATCTGAACGTTACTGTCGTCAGTGAGGCTGAGAAAATTTAGGAAGAATACATCGCTACACCATACATAGTCCGCCAGGATGCAATTATTCGCATGTTGTTTTTTGAAGATATTGGACACTAGCCCTTTCGTTATATAACAATGGTGAACAATAACGCAGGCATTATCATCCAGTATGAGCTTCAACCAGGCAACTGCGATTAAGCCCCTACACTTCGGTTGATGAGTAGCATAATCAGTAAAAATACATGGAATACCAAGTGCCGAGCATAAGTTAGGCTGAAAAAATGCAAAAATTCAATGGGTTTTTGCTGTTTACTGAGAGCATTTCAAACCAGATTTAAATCATGGTATGGACCGATGGCAAAGCTTGGAACCAGTGTCACACGGTATCATGCAGCACGTAGTGACTGTTTGGTTCCGCGTCACTGTAAACAAATTCACAGAAATAAACTGAGCTAAAGTTATAGCTCTGTCCAGAAACCGTTCTCATTTTGCAACCCAAGAAGCGTAAGGTCTCATTAATAAATCATTCAATATGTCTTCACGGTTGGCGCTTTATATGATCACCGTTTTGTTTCTTTTCACCATGGGGTGAGTGGGTGTTTTAGGATTTGTCCTGTTGCGAACTTGACACACGCAAAGACCAATAGCTAATTATCCGGACTTGTTATGTACCCACAAGTACAAGACCGATGAAGAACACGATAGCGTAGTCGGATGGAATAGTATATTTAGATGGTCGTGCCAAAATACCGACGCGTTCCAACTGACTGGCTGGAGAGTCGAATACGAGCAGTGCGACGTAACATGACAGCGTGCCAAATGGCGAGGATGCTTGACCGGGTGCCTTCAGCTTAGCGAGTCCAGTTAAACTATCAAGGTCAGCATCAATGTCGAAAGTCGTCAAACCCTAGGCTTTTGATTTTGGGGAAGTGTGTGACGCCACGGTGTTATTAGTCGGAGAACCTGCATGTTTGGATACAAACGGCATGTAATGCCGATATTTCTGGGCACAACCCTAATCGGAGCCATAAATTTGGGGTGGACTGTCAAATTAATAGGTATCCAGCGGTCTCATAGTTAATCTGCCTATGGGAAAGAAAAGGAAGCGTGGGCATGGAACAATTTATCCTGTACTTAGGTCGTTCACTAACAAGATATGAACAGAGAAACCAAAGAAAGAGAAATCAGATGTAGATTCAAGAATTGTTGTACAACAATTATCCTTCTTTTCAGCAACAAACTACTGTGAGATAGTAGTCAGCGACTTTTAATGCACGATAAACACAAAGTATAGCACTGAAACTACTTGTCTGAACACAGAGCCTATCAGTCGACATGTCTGATTGAGAATTTGAGGGACAAGGGACAAGTAATTGTCATGCATGCGGGCGTATGCAGAGGACTCTTAATATGAAGTAAGTTTTGGCATGAAGAAGTGAATTAACGGGAGTCTTAGTGTGTAGAAAATAAGACAATACGATGCGTAGTCGTCTGCGAGGAATTCTGAGGACACACTTTCCAGTAGTACAACTAAGTGGATTTGGACTTCACTTTTAGTCAGATGAGTATGCTGTTTATCATGTGGACTACCCTACTACGATGATACCGGTTATGCAACGGAGGGGAAACTGCCTGATGCACAGAGTTCTCACTGTTCCAAATTAAAAGCTACCTAATTCACTGGATAGAACTTAGGAATCCAACCTGCATTTATTCTTAAGTTACCATGAACTTCACTACCTTGGAAACACTAGGGTCCCACAGAGCCACCTCGAATACCCCTGTTGAAAGTCATCTATCTACAAACAGACTGTAAATATCATTTGAACCCAAAAGCAAGTTCATATGGCGCATAAATTGCGACACAGAGGTGCTGCTGAGCACAGCTACGGGGAGCCTATCCCAGATCAAGCTGTAATATG